TATATATTATATATGTAATANATACATATATATATATATATATATATTATACATATATATGTATATATACATATGTATATGTATATATATATATATATATAGATGTATTAATATAGATTCAATGCTCGAATCGAGACGGAAATTTTCTCGTCCAAGGACTCGATGTCTGTCATGGGCAGCGGTTAACGTTACAACTGTAGATATTAAAGTGCGCCAAGACGTTATACTGTTGTACATGGATTAAGTTTATGTAGGTGTTGTTCTACAAATATAGTGCTTGATTACTTTCGACATATTTTAATTACTTACATGTATATATATTTGTTTTCTGGCTGCCTGTCAGTCTATCAGCGGGTGTCGAACGGGTTTACCCTACCCTATGTCTTATTACAAACCGACATCTGTTTCTCACAATACACGACACGTGAGCGCAATATATATATACATATATATTTATATTTATATATTTTTGTCTTTATACTTGTATTTGTGTATATATATATTGATATATATGTATATATATATACATCTATACATCTATACATCCATATATATATATATATACATATATATAGATGGGTCCACATCAATTTATTGATATAATTATATTTATACTTCTATATATGTATGTATGTATGCATGTATTTAAGTATGTATGTATACACATCCATATTTACATGTGTTGATACACACATACAAACATACGAATTTCACATCTTCTCTATGTTTCACCTTTTACAGCACATTGCGAATTGGCGCGATGTTTTTCGGAATGTATATGTTTCAGCTGATTTACGATATCATCAGCCCGCGCCTGGATGTTATTTCTGTGCTGTGCTTTATTTTCATGACACCTGCTACGCTACTTGTCGCCTGGCTCGAGATATTGGGTCCCGCTTTGGTTAAGATAACGGGACGAAAATTACAATTATCTCTCTTGGGAGGGTCGGATTTATGCGGAATTGCCACAGAATTTGGGACCAGGTGTGTGAAACTGGGACTACGTAAGGGTGTATATTGCATTGGAATATATTATAATTTGTTTTATGTATGCTAGTTTCCCCCTTGCACCTTCATGTGAAACATATATATTTATATATGTCGTGTGCATTCAGCAGCACACTCTTCAATTTTCGACTATGCTATTTAGTAGTGCCCTCATTCTTACCCAACGACATTCATGCAAAAGTCTTGGTTTTAAATCCATAAATCGGATACTTCGCCTCAGGGGGTTCGACAACGTACTATCCGATCCATTTTTACTGGAAAAGTTCACGGAAAGTTGTACAAAGCAGTATTGTACCGAGAATGTGATGTTTCTGAAAAGCATGCTGGATGTCAGGATTGCTCTGAACAGTGGCACGAACCCTGCTGGATCCCGTTTGGGTGTATATAACGCAACTGCGGCCGCGATGGTTCATGCAGTCATCGAACGCCATATTACTGAGCCAGGTATGTATCCATGTATATACATCTTTCTCTGCAATTGCTAATCTTAGTTTGTGTGAGTGAGTATTAATGGATGGGTACACATCCTGATGTCTGTGTTGCGGAAGGTGTCTTATCTGTACATGGAGCTAATCTCACTGCATCGCCTGTGTTGAATACTGCGCCACAGCGGACAAGATGTTATAGGAAATTTTGAAATTCCTTACGCGCCAAGTAATACCACACATTTATATATATTATTGTGTAACTGGATTTCTTTTGTGGGGTTTCATACGTGCAAATCAATATATACACTTAATAATAGTATATATATTTATATTTATGTATGTATATGTATGTATGTATATATATATGTATGTATGGATGTATATATTTGTATATATTTACATTCATATATTTGTACATGTATATGTATATGTTTATGTATGTATATATATATATAATTTGATTTAGATAATGTATATGAATATGGATATGGATGTAGATATATATATTTTTTTGCTTGTGTGACCAGATTTTATAATCGTTTTTCTTCACATCCCATTAATATTTGTATTTATATATATATATATATATATGTATGTATGTATATGTATGTATATACATATGTATGTATATGTATATATATATAAATATATATCTGTGTATATATGTATGTATGTATGTGTATATTTATATATATATAAATTCATATATATGTACATGTATATGTATATATTTATGTATATGTATATGTATATATATATATAACTTGATTTAGATAATGTATATGAATATAGACATGGATATGGATGTAGATATATATATATCTATTGCTTGTATGACCAGATTTTAAACCCTAAAACCCCTTTCAATTGACCCTCCCGATCATAGAACCTTGCATGGAAATAAACATCTCCAGCCATACCAAAGAAGCTATCCTAAAACAAATGTCTTTTCTGAGGTCTGATCTCATCAGTGATACTCTTTCACGATCCTTAAATGACGCTGAGGAGAGGGTATGTTCCATGCTTATGTCAGCTAAGGCTGACTTCTTAGCCGATGCAGAGGTTAGTGCACACTTGCGTCGCTTGTGGGCGAGCGATCGTGCAGGGTTGGCGGTGGTTGGGGCGGCTGAACCCGCTGCCATCTGAGGTACATATGTATACTTATATACATTATATACATACATATATCAATTATATAGGTGTGCTGTGCACGTACTATAAGCACAGAGACACACAATGCATCAAGTCGCTCTGTATTCGATGCCGGAAGGAGTACACATTGCGTCGTCTCAGGCGTGTAGCATTGTTGGGTTGGCGCTGATAGGGGTGGCTGAGTCCGACTATGTGTCGTGATAGGTATGCACTTACGCACACGCAGTCTTCACAATTTCTGTGCATGCGGCATACACACACTTGTCTACAGGCCTGTACACGCTTCGTGGGGTTGGTGTTGGTCGAGTTGGCTTAGCCTGATAGTGCTATATGAGGTGGTGGCTCGCTTGTAACTATCCGTGGTCACGCGTACAAATTTACGTACATGTACTGTATAAACGCAAACAAAGAGCGTGCACTTACTTGGACGTCGGCCCTTGTATTAGTTAGCACCGTGCTCCGTTGCTCATGAATCAACGAGTAGAATGGCGAAATATGGACAAGCCTTTCGGTTGGGAAGGGCACTGTTCTTCATTCGTATTGAGAGGGAGTGAGAACAGAAGTGGTTTCCAACGGACGCTGACGCTGGTATTGGTAGACTGTTGTATTGTTGTCGCATGAGAACGTTGAAAGTTCAAACCACTACTTTAAGGGGGAACAATGCGAGAAACATCTCAACACAGTAGGACGTTAGTAGAATGTGAATATCGTGAGGCAAAGGCCTTGTATGTGGAATATGACGCCGGCTGTGTTTTGATTCCCGACGATGAGATTCTGTCGCAAATCATAGCCCCATAGTGTCGGAACGGTAGAAATCTGCAACAGGTATTTCTGATGTACCACATATTCTGGAAAGCGTATTATTCGCACTGTCCATATCGTATCACATCACACTGAAATAGTTTGAAATACACTCACTTATTTAGGACGGATTAGATTCGTGCCCTCTAGCACACTACGCACCGAATGATGTAGTGCGAACTAAACACTACGCACCGAATTAGTTTGGACAGCACACACCGTACTAGAACATACCCCGCCGAAATAGTAGAGGATTCCAACACAAGAAATTGGGTGTATATGTCAAACATATGATACATTATCGCAAGGGCTCCCCGACTCCCGAGGGATATCCTGAGCCTTGAGAGGACAAACCTCCCCCCTCCCCTACTGACCACATCTATATCGGAGATCATCCCGAGTAGAAACACCACATTTCTCCACCGAATGTTGGTTATAATACACGCTTCTGAGGATGGGGGTTCCCCTCTACGAGGTGTTTAGCACAAGGGCAGTGCATTACATAATATAAATGTATTGACTGTGGGTTCGAATCCCGATTCCCGCGACACCTTCCAACATTTCATGTTTCTATTATCAAAAAAAGTGGCTCTCAAAATAACAGCGGGGGCAAGAACTTTTTATATATATTTATAAAAAAAAAATTTATCAGAAGGCGAAGACGTGCGATGTAAATTTTATTTATTTAAAAGGACCTCGAATAAATGGTTTGTTTGTTCCTCTTTTGTTTTGTTTTTGTTTTCTAAAATACAGACAAATAAAAATAACATAAAAACCGGATCGAGAAGGCCCGAATGGGGGGTTGTTGTTTTTTAAAACAAAAAAAACAATACATACATACCCGTTCTGAACGTGAGGGGTTTAGAAATCATAATTTATTCATAAATAGCCTGCTCCTAATAAAGTTCTAAAGTTCTATGGTCTATTTTAGTATTTTTATTTTGATCAGCACTGAGCACTGAGCACTGAGCAGCCATATTCTCTCCAAATATAATAATGAAGGGACAAGACTTTTTTTTAATCTCCAGGAAGATGCGACTCAATCCAGTCTCCCAGAGGGCCATGGAGAGCTAACCTCATAAAGTTATGGGGTACATACTATTTTTGTCTTTTGGAGGCCTTGTTGACTCCTTGTGTTTATTGTTCAGTTGTTCCGTGCTCCGTTCGGCTCTTCTCTCTTGGCGAAGTTGGCTACTCTATTTCTTATTAGAATTTAGGAATGCGACAATTTTAGTATTTAAAAAATAAATACGTTCTACTTTCAGAACGGTAAATAGCTTTTGAACTTTTAAAACGCATTTTTATTATAATATAATACCGCCCTGTCAGGCGTCATGAGTTCAAGACTCAAGACTCAAGAGTCGGCGCTCGCGAGTCGTGACTCGACAGTCCGGAACTCCGGACAGTCCAGTGCACACTGCAGTCTTCAGTGACTGCACTCTACACCAGAACAAGTTCAATTTATATATTATTTAAATACACCTGTGACTCCGTGAGAGAATTCAGAATTGACATAGCCTCCTAAATAAAACAAGAATTGAGAGTTGAGAGTTGAGACGCCGCGGAGACTTAATGCGTTTAATAAAAGAGGATAGTTTACTTGTTTTTTATATTTATATTTGTAAATATAACGTGTGATGAATCAGTCCTTTTTTTTTAGCGATTTTTTTAGTAAAACAAAACCCTTATTTGATGAAATAGCGTCACGGGCGTTTTTTTTGGCGACAGACAAAAATCGAGGGGAAAATAAATAGGAGGGCCTTTAGAAGGGCGAAGCCCTCCCGTGATGTCCTTCACAAATGAAGATAAGAACAGATGACACACTGTATATTTCTTATGTATTATATACATGCAATCGCTGTTGAAATACTACTTCCAAATATCGGTTCAAACCAAATCATTGCGCTTGTTGGTTCCGACTATGATACTTCCGATCCAGGCCAGCCAACACATACTGAATTCATCTGTGGTCTGGTGCTGCATTGACTTACCCCCATCCTCGCTTATCGACCGGATTATGACGGATAACCTGGTCCTTCTCGGTATTTCGTACTCTGCACTAACCCATTCCGCGGCACTACACGGCGCAGACCCGATCCGTACCACAGAGATGGGTACTCTATTTAGTAGGTCAGCAAGCGAATATAAGGAACATTCGATAGTAACAGTATTTTGTCAACACCGGCCCGAATTGACTCAGCACATATCTTCCATTGTCGACTCACTTCGCCCAAGCTTCAAACGGGAATTTACAGACCACTTCTTCCCATCAATCTTTCCTGAACCACTACAGCGACTATGAGAGCCATTCCATACGTTCATACATTGTATCATACATACTTGCCATTTTTGAAATAAATAATATTATCCCTATCACAAGTCTAGGGTTAGTACTACCAAGCAACTAAAATGTATCGTTGGACATTATTATATACAAACCAGCAATTGTGAAATCATCAGAATATATACAGTTCGAAACATGAACTGAAAGGTGTCATCAGAAATATGACACCATGTCTCACCGCTTCCTTTATTGTCTCGGGAGCGATGGTACACATACACACGACTACTGAAGGCGTTACGAATATAGAGACCGGTCGCTTTATTGTCGAATTCCCCGATCACAGTCAAATTATCCTGACTCAGCGCGGTACACTACCAGGACTTGGGACTGTTCTCATCATGCCTACAGCAACGCAGAATATATTATCAGTACAACTCCTACAACGCTAAGGGTACAGAATCAATTTCCCCCCAGAAATAGATGCCCAGAAACCCACAGAGTGTCATATACTCAAGGACAATACTATACTCCACACTATACCCAATACCCATGGCCAGTACTCATTAGCCAAAGGTACTGAGACACTACGATCTAATAACATAGCCTCTACTACAATCACCAAACCTTCCCATAACAAATGGATACTACACCCGAACCGCTTTAAACGACATGTTACAGACGTTTTTAGAACAGTAGACATCGATTTATTCGCCAACGAAGACAACGCGTATGTACCCATGTACTGTGGACTCAACGATGACGCACCACTTCAAGACGCATTTCTGCAATCCTGGCATCAAACCGATAAACACCTCTACGGGAACATATCATTTCGCCGCAAAAATTAGCGTGAGACTCTAGCCAAACTCGATATTAAAAAACCACAACCCAACACCAAGAACTACAACCAAACACTACGCCAGTTACACTCTCATGTAGAGATCATACGTACAGCACGCGAGACTTTCTTAGAACACGGGCGCAATGTTGTTGGCCTACCTAAATAGCACTACATTTGCCGCAGAACTGCTCACAACTGAGGCAGATACCACTCCGATTAAGGAGCCTACTCCTACAGATAGAGCCCGAGGGCCAACTATTGCCTCAATTTCGAAGCTCTCATTTACGAAGCCAAGAAGTGAGACAAGGGACAAATTCTTCTGATGAAACTCAGAAAGAAAAGTCTCCAATTATAGGGGACAAAAACGAATCTCAGAAGGTAACTACACCGGAACCAGAAGAGGAGGCAAGCTCAAGTGGCAAACCCGAATCTACGTCCCAGACCACTGAGTCAACGCGCTTAAGTAAGTTAACTACTGAAAACACTGATCTTAAGAATTAGTTAGCCGCCCTTATGAAAGGCATGGCTGTTTTACATGTAGATCGAATGTACGGATCAGGAAAGCACGCACAGCACTTACGCGAGCATGTTTCAGCGGGCACCACTGAAGCCTTGCAGAAGTTGACAGAACGTCGACTGGTAATTACACCCGAAAAACGTAAGGACATGAGCGCCAAACCTATGGCAGCTGACCCAGATCGACTCAGCGTAACTATACCTTACGAAGAACTACCACCAGAAGTCCAGGAACTTTATTCGCCTGTTCTTTCACCCGGCCATGAGTTGCCTTTCCTCGAGGGTACTATAGACCCAGAGGCAGGTAAAAACACTCCACCACCTTTACCCAAATGAGATGACAATCGTCGGAGATCAGTTAAGACTGTATATGTCATCCAGACGCATACATCACCCAAGATTATAATACTAACTACTATCCAAGGAACAGAGCACCGAAAGGACTCGACCATGGACTTTACACGGGGTAATAAACACTCCCGTAAACGTGTTAACGATGTCGAATTTAATCGCTTCGATCGCACTGCCTTACACCAACCCGCAGAGGATTTTCACTCTGACGAGGTGACCAAACTTAATAAATCGGTCAACGATTACATCATTAAAACGAAAATCGCCCATGACGAGCACCGTGCCGATGATGTATCATATTTTGCTAACATGATCGCGATCAAGCAGACGCGCATCGATCAACTAATTCAGGCCCAACGTGGACAAGACCACCGGGATAACCAGAAGTACAAGGGACTGATCAGTCGACTTGAGTCAAACTGGGATACCAACAGCAAGCAGGTTGAGTTTATAAACAACCATAACCTCGACACGCTGACCCGTACGCTTAATGCGTTTACGGTTATGCTGGAGACAAATAATATCGCTCCCAGCAATGGATCCCCACAGGAACAAGTTACTTGATCCTGCAGCAACACCAGCATTGGCTAGACACTTGTCATGACTGGCCAGATGCGTGTTGGTTGGTTATATCCTTATTAAGCACGGACATGCGCAGTCCAGGACTGAGTTCAATCTTAACCGAACCAGTAGAGAATACTCCTATTCAGAGTTACATTCTGAAACTTGATGCTGACCTTGAACGTCCAGATATAACAAAGGATATGGCGCAGCGATGGTACGAGTTCCTGGTTATGCATGTTTTCTGTAAGAACATATGAAACAACGACCGTGAACGTCTGTACACCCAGTTGCGACGTAAGTACGCAACTGATGTTCGAGACAAGGGACATGAAACAAAGTTTTTTTTATCTCGACTTACGTGGGAACAGTTTTATGATACTGTATTCACTCTTTTCCATCAACGCAACCCAATAAACGAGCACGCGCGGTGCCGAAGGACAAGAAACCTCTATTTAAGAAGATTAAGAAATTTGCCGACGCACAGTATGGGTATTGACATATACCAATTGACCCCTAACGGATATTGGGATGGAAGACATGCACTCAACTGTACACACTTCCCTACGAAGTGTGATAAGTATGAGAAGACTAATGGTTATCACGCCAAGTCTTGTGACAAGAAGCCTGACATCAAGTTGGAGTGAAATTACTATCAGGTACAATTGTTACAATGGAAATACAACGACTCTTTAGACGAGCGTGTAATAATCCCTGTATATTGCAATGGAAATAAAGTCCTTACATTGATTGATCGTATATCCAACAAAATTGAAAGGCGAATTCAAACCACTTGCCTAATTTTAGCACATGACAAGACTTCTAAGTGTGGTACCATGGCCACAGATGTCCTGACTATTAACAGGCTTGCCCAACAACATAGATCCATTAAAGGATCAATCAGACGATAATTGTCTAAAACCATTTACACCACCGTC